TTTTTTGAGCTGTGACCGGCTTAGTAAATTAGCTAAACATACATATATACATACATACCTTTTCACGGGATTATCAATGTATTGAGTGCTGAAGTACTCAGAGATAGCATTTCGCACTTCGACTGGCCCACTAGTTGGTCCGTATTGGAAGAGATAAGATAAATTTTCCTTTTCATAATTCTAAATTGAAATGCAGATATTCTATACTATGTACATGATGCGCATATAAAGATATTACATTTTATACTGGAAAATTACTTACCAGACGATGCTTCGTGGCTTCTTGAAATATATCACAGCAATTTTCTAACAAATCTGGACCTGGAGCTCCTACACCTAAATTTAGGATGAGGTCGTCGTAAACATTCCAATCAGTTCCATCAAATAAATGTTTGAGTTTGCGATCTAGATTGGTTTGTGACATTTTACTGGCTAACCAGAATGGTGCGAAAGAGCTGTCAAAAGTTAATATATTCTAAATGCTCTAATCTGCCCACAATAGTTGCGTTCCAAGAATGATAAAATACATGTATGTATGTATGTATTCTCTCAATCGTGGTTGCGTTCCAAATAACTTCGTGTAAAAACCTGTTAAACTCTCAAATAACAAAATTACTCTCTTGAAAATGAGGAGCGAGAGCGAAACAATAGGTTTGTTCGTCGGAAATCCAGCAAGAATTATCAAACACTCAAAATATCAGAGAGTAAGAAAAAATTCTCTCTCTTGCTGAGAAACTTGCAAATTTCTGCACGAATGCAAATTTGCAGAAATTTGGTTACGCTGCCAGCTGGTGTCCACGGTTGCATTTCAAACATAATAAATTTTTATAGAATTTTTAAAGTTCTTTCAGATGGACAAAAACAGGATGCACATGTATATTTCTTGTTGTTCTGACTTTCTTTAACATACATTCCAATTTCTTTATCGTACTAGCTGGCGGGTTTCTTAAATCGACTCTGGTTGCAATTGCATTCCGATTGCGAATACAAGTTTTTTCAGCCGAGTTAAGTTAAAATCATACGAATTAACTAAATTAATTATATCAACAAGTATTTACTTCCTTTTTCATAAAAAAAAATTGCTCGTGTTTATAAATTTTTAAATTTAACGAACTTATTTACGACTACGAACTTATTGACGAGAACTGTCACGTTGCTCTCACAATTTTCGAGTGTTGGATATTTTTTAGTCTGCACGAACGCAATTTGGGTAAAAGTCATGATAATTCGTACAAATTCGTACAAATTTTTTGCTCGACGAACAAACCTAATAAAAGTCACCTGGAACACGAAAAACCACTTTTCCTGTAACACTTCCATTTTGTTTTTCAATGTAAAGCGCCATGGAGACGACCAAAAATCTTTATCAACCGTCTCGCGTTATGCTTGACAAAAAACAAGCGCACTTGCCTTCTGATCGTCGTGGTGAGCAAGTGCGCGGACAAGAAAAAGAAATTGTTTGTTGAATTGACGTGTTTATTTGAACGTTTACGGGCTAGACAAGAGCCAACCTCACACATATGCAATGCTTGACGTATTTATTTGATTTTCTCCGTGGCGCTTAATGTTCTTTGCTTTCTGTTTTTGTTTACAACTGCAGCCCTGCCTATAGTTTGACACTTTTCATGAACTTGCAGGAAAAAAATCTTCTGACTATCGGGTATCGATACGAGTACTTTTTTTCGATACCTGCCCAGTACTTGGTTCAAAAGTATCGATGCCAAAGTTACTTGGTATCGAACGAAAAGTATCGAGTATGTATTTGTATTTATTTATTCGTATCGTTTGATCCCTATTTGTTAATCAGCTGTTGTGTGTTTTGTTCCTTGAAAACATATTTTATTTTAGTTATCTCTACGCATATTCGGATTTGCAAAACGATTTTGTTTTTTTTTTTCGTTAGTGTCAAAACTAAATTCCAGTGAATAAAACACTGCAAAATTGTTTCAAATGTTTATTTGAACGATTTGGTGTGCAGCATCAACGGTTGGCCAGTAAGATATGTATCCTTGACGATACCTACCTACTTATATAATTGTTTACAAATAGCTAAGATGCTGTTGCGCTTTAATTCAGCTGTAGTAAAAAGTCAAAACCAATTACCACCCTCAGCTTGGTCTCATGTTTTATGGCGGCACATTAGCACGGAATTGACAAATGCATTGCGGCCGTTTTATTTTGCGGTACATCCAGACTTCTTTGGTCAACATCCGGTTCAGCGCAACGTAAATGAGAACTCGTTGAAACTTTTGAGTGCGCATATGGAGTTGTTGTATGAGCGAAAATATCAGGCTTTGTACGAACCTAAAACATTACAGTTTTACATACGAGACGGAAATGCTAGTTCACGAGATACCTTCAAATTAATCAAGGTAACATTAGACCGAAGTACAAAGGATCCGAAGTTAGTGGTACAGCGTTTGTTGGAATTATGCAATCTTCCGACGGATTATGTTAAAACCATCAAATCAATGCCGGTTACGTCAGCTACGAGCGCAACAGCAACAGCAGCAGGTTTTACGAATGCCACAAGCCCTTTCAAAGCGGGAAACGACTACAACTATGGATCACAGTTCTCCGGCTTCGAAAGTTCTTTCTATAATGTAAGTTGATTGCGCGATTTTTTATTACAAATTTTCATTATTTCTCGAAGCATCGATTTTTATAAAAAAAGCTCTTTAAAAATAGAGAAGTTTTATTATGCATTCAACATATCTTTATTTTCTTTTAAAACGTATAGTAGCACACATTTGCTCTTACTGTGGGCCATTGTTGTTTCTTTTTGTTTGTGACATGTGGTGCAGCAGATTGTGAAAGTGATAAATTCAGTTGAAGAAGGCCTCCATTAATATCCCCACCGAGTTTTATACAAAAATTCTGTTTACTTTGATATATATATGTATATACATATATATATGATATAGCTATTGGAATTCTCAGCCTAAGTTGACTTTGTAAGCATTAAATTAGAGGAATACATATACAGATAAATTTGATAAACTTTCCTTTCCGTTTGGTTTGTGTAACCACTCTATGCAAGATAACTCATACTGCTTTAGCAAGGAAAACAACATACACTGACGTGAATCCTTAATTTTGTACATAATTTGATGATGCATATTTTTTATTAAAAAATAAAACCTTTGAATTAAGAATTTGCTTAATCCTTTGTAGACCAAAGAAGAGCAGAGGAAAACATTGGACTCTTGGTTAAAAAAGAATGCACCCATTGCGAAACTGCGAACTTCTGATTTGGATGATTTAAAAGAAGAGGTAATTAAGTTGCAGCAGGCTGTTACTAAACGATTGGGTCTAAAAGATATTCGTTACGATTGCGGTTGGAATTATGAGCATTTCCGTGGGTGCTTAAAATCCCTAGAGCGCATGGCTAATTTGCATTCTGATGAAATGGGAGCAATGAAAAATCGAGTTCTAGTATTTGCGCCTTTCACTGGCGTCAGCTTGGAGGGACATATAATGCTATTTACGGGCGATGTACTGACCAGTTGGATTGATTTCATAAAAAACATTCCACAACATGATGAATTTTTAAAGAAAATACCCCTATACGAGAATACGCTGTCTCAGGTCCTCCTTAACATAAAAATTGGTCGAAGAAAGTTTATGCCCAAACAACAAGCTCGAGAATATGCTGCACATCTGATAAAAGTGACAACGACACTTGGGGACTACCTTACTGTGAATAAGTTCCCAAAGTCGTGGCCATCCACATTGGCCGATTATGAAATCGTCATTGAGTCGGAGGCAGGCCCGCTAATGGTAAATCCTACAGGTCAATTAATAGCGCCGGCAACATGCCCTGGATTCATGTTAATCGATTTCATTACCACCAACTTGGATGTAGCTAAGGAACGTACGGAAAAATATCTCACACAGAAGACGGTAGAGCGGCAATTGAAGGCACAATGCCTACATCAATTACGTTTACATACTTTGACCAAAGATGACTCCGTTACTCCAGATAAAATGATAGAAACTATGAACAAACTATTAGAATATAACGATATGCGCTTCCGGGAACTAAATTTACACATTACGAACTACTACTCTGTACTGACGGATGGAACTGTTTGCATACCCTGGGACTTTACACCAAGGTAGCGTATGTGTTATGGCGGTTAGTGAGAAATGAGGTAGAACCTATTTTAAAATTTGGACAGCAATTACTACGCTCATTCAAAGAATTCCCCATTATTTTTTTATGACTTAGCCTGTATAAAAACGAAAAGATTATGTTACTAATTAATAAAATGCCATAATGCTCTTTAATGCAAGTTATATAAACAAGTATTTTGTGTATTTTACTCTATATATACATATATATGCACATATATAAATATTTCTACTTTTTTAAGCAAAAATAATGGTTTTTTTTTATTCCGTGACTGGAAAGTTATACATTTATTCATCTCTTCCGTGTGAAAAAATCTAAGAAAACAACAAAACATTCAAATATTGGGGAGGGGGAAGAACGCTTAAGTTTGGGCATACAAATTGAGCTTAAACTGCGAATCGATTTTCGGCCCAAATTCTCGAGCTTGAGTTCACTCCATCAGTGAAACAATCAGAGCTTCTGCTAACTTTTTATGCATCAGGCCCCTTATTTAACAGCACTTTTAACAATTCAAAGATTTGATACCTGCGGGGTTTTCAAGGTATTTACTAGCATTATAAAATACGCTTTATTTATATATATTCTGTATGATTCAATAAGCAAATTTTACTATTTTCTCATCACCATTTAGATCATGTAGCTGCAGTCCTCTATCCGCCAGAGACACTCGTTTTTATACAACTGAAAGTCCTCCACTCGGCGTGTGTATACATACTGCTCTGATTTGCTCCACATTGTTTGATTACCGCCACAAAGGTATTGACGCATACTGGCGTCCATCAATGCAACGCTATTTCCAACAAATACTGCCTGCCATACGCTTGGCGGTTCTGAGCTGTACACGTTTTTAATGAATGCTGGTGGCATAGAGCTATTGACATTGGAATAATTTGTTTCCAGCTTTATATAGCGCATCCAGAATGTGCTATAGAAAGTATACCTGTTGCCCAGAAGACGCTCTATTTGGAAAACTGAACGATACTTGTACCCACTGGAATACGTGCACATCAAAGCCGTTTGTGCGCACTCGCTTAGGTAGCCAAAGCTGCCAGTAGTGTTATGAATACAAATAGCGCTGGCTTTGTGCAATGCAACCATAGATTCCGGCATGAAATCACTGATTTGCTTCAAGTACTTTGGCAGCAACTTGCCCATGTCACATTCGCTTAAGAGTTGCTGAACATCACTGTACAATAGCAGTTGAAAGTCGCTATTTCTGTTTAAAAATGTTAAATGCGCTATTAGCCGTTGATTAGAATTTAATCCCAAACAATTGAGGGCATTTGCGATACTCCTATCGCTTTCCAACAGCTGTGCAGCATCGAATGTAACATTCAAAACTTCCTCAAAAATATCTTCATCCAATTGATTCAATTGGCTGATCACCTGGCGTACTAGAGGATAACTTGTGTCGTTGGCGCAAATGATATTTGTATCATTATAATTGGCGGGGTGCAGTGGCACTTCAAGCAATTGGGCACTACGCTCAATGAGATATCCGCGAACTTCCTTCTTAAGTAACTGAAACTGTCCTAGATTGTGAATGCCGTGCTCTTCCAGCGTAATATTTCTCATTGCCAAATATAAATCGATGACATTTCTGGGATCGTACAGCATTTTATTTGCTTTTAATTTTCGCCACAACACTTTGAAGGCAATATAATGCACAGTAGAGTTTTGGGTGTTATTCGTGAATTGACCGATTAAATACAGTGCGAGTGGCCATTCACAACTATCTACCGTGTCCCACAAAATATTCTCTAATTCATTCGAGGCATCCCGATTGCTGTTGGTAGAACTGTACCAACTGTCTACCACATTCTTCTTCGACAATGATTCCTGGCGAAGCAGCTCGTTGAAGAGTCTAATATGCACATCCATTAGTGTCGTATTGTTGGCTCCTTCTCGTCCATTAACCTCCAATACATTTTGGTCTTGCGCCAGCACTTGGCTTAGGAAGAAAACTGTAATTATAGAAATTATTAAGGCGACCATTCTCGATGTTTGCGTGCAGAATAACTACTCCGTGGCTAAACAAAAACCGAATGATTTCAAAATTTGGTTGTACTCGTCGTTAAATACCTCGCAAGCCTAAATAATTGGCTCCCTTATCGCAGGAAAACGATTTAAGGTGCATTATGCTCGCATTTACAATTAAATGGCAAGTTTCTAAAAACACTATTTAAATATTGACTCTACAATCGTATCATTGCTAATTAAATTCGACATTTTTTTATTGGCCGTTAGGTAAATGGAGGTGGGCGATGAAAGATGTGAAGCTGGGCACCGGAAATCAAGGTTTGTTTTAAATATACATTTCATATGTATGTATGTATGTGGGTAAGGGTGCATGAAGATTTTTAGTTTACGTTCAGCTTTAGGTAATAAGATCGGATTGGCTTGTGTGCTACCTTTACATAATGCCGTAGAATTTATATACATATGTATATATCGAGATTTTCAGAACATAGCCTAGATGCCTTCAAATATAAATTTATCCAAATTATCATCCGATGGGTGTCCCTGGAGTCAAGATGTCTTGGACTGCCGTATTTTACAAATTTTTATCACATTTTGGAAAAAATGTTTTGGCTATATGAGGTGGAATATTCTAAACAAAATGGCATGCATGTTCAATTCCCTCACTTACTAAGTCACATGACGCCTGAATGTATGCAACGTTGCATTTCGGAGCACCTCTGACTAAACCAAATAGAGTGGTCATCCGAAACGTATGTACTAGAAAACTATCCAAAATGGTTTTGAAACGGATGTGCTTTAGGCTGTTTTCCTGTTTTCCTGTCTGATAAAATTTTCGTTGAAAACGATTTCATTATGAACTTCACAGAAACGTTTTCATGGTTACAGGAAACCAAACAAAAAACAATTTTAAAATTCAGCAATTATTTTAATTTTAATAAATACTTTTATATGTACAACAAATAGTAGCTCGCTCCTCTGCGGTCGTTTTCGGATACATTTTTCTACTAAAGTGTGCATCCGATCCGACAAGTGTATTTAGAAAGGTACCGAAAATGATTGTATAAAGGATACGTTTTAGCTTAATTTTCTGATCAAATTTTCGTTGAAAACGATTAAACTTTTCATATTACTGATGGCCATAGTGTAATAATAAAAAGTGTCGTCAGTAACTTAACCTCACTGTTACTGGCCGCATTTTAAAGTAGTAAAAAATGTACTAATTCTTTCTTACTTTTACCCATTTGTGCATACTATTTCTAAACAATTGCAGAAAACTATATACCTAGTTACGGGGTTTCAAGTATGAATATATCGTCACTACATACGAATAAAGGCGCTATAGTGTTTTGACGGCGAAAAAAGACACGTAAAAAAACTTTGCGAAAAAAGATGCTTCAACTTTTGAGCTTGCGCCTTTATTCGTGTCTAGTGACGATATGTTTGTGTCGAGCTCCACACGTCTTGATCATATATGCATGTATTAGATCTAACAAATAAAAAAATTCGTAAAACGAGGCGATTTCCTACAAGGCTTGTGATGATTTTTGAAATATATCAAAACACATAAAAAGCACAAATATCCTTGAATTCTTTATTTTAGATCGTAGTTACGCAATTTAGTGCATCAACTGTTCATTTGACTTAATATTATGACAATGTAGCAAAAGTTATTTAATATTAAAAAACGACTATATACGAATTCTGTTTTAAGTCTTTCTATTGATAACACCGATATTTTTTATTAGTTTTTTATTTTATTTTTTTTTAACCACTGAAAACTGCCGTGTTAAATAAATTGTCATTCTATTTATACTTGGCAATGTTTGGTTCTTTTCTGTACATACATATTTTCTGCCGCAATCTTTAAGGGAAACACCGATCGTCAAAGTATCCCAAAATGGAATCGGCAAACGCACGATAGTTTTAAGGGTGACTATCGATACTATCGATAGTATCGACCCATTTCATATGTTTTTTCTAAATCCATTTATTTTTCGTTATCTTGCTTTTATAAATTTGTTTATTTTAGCGGCTCACGGTTGCATTTTAGTATCGAGAAATATTGCGTGTAAACAGTCAAAAAGCGATTTCAGAAATTTTCCCTACAATTCGCCTTTCGGAAATAAAAAAGTTGCTTTCGAAAGACACTTTACATGAACGGTGCCACTGCTCATACAAATGCTTTCTGCAATTTCTCAATTTGACAGTCTTTTGAAATACACTGAATTGTCTGGTCTGACACGCTCTTAAGACGGCAATGTAACCGCTGCTATTTCCACGCTTAAAATAAAAAAATGGCGCTTTTAGAAATAATGCCATGAACCAACTAAATAGATCACCCAGCACGGCAACCGCGTATTTGTAATTGCATTTGTGAAAAAATAAATAATAGTTGATAACGTCATTTTTTATTCGGTTGGAAAAAAAAATTTAAATTTTTTTAGTCTCCATAGCGGAATCTCAACTTTTAACCGTGCGAAACGCCTTAACCATTTCCATTCAGGACCAAAATTATATGTGATATCTGCCGTCTATTGCCGATTGAGGGTGAGACAGGAGAAAAAATATTTCATTTGATTTAAGGACCACCCTAATGTATATAATGTACAGAGCACAGTGTTGTTGTTGTAACAGCATACAAATTCCTCAAAGAGTTTTTGGGGAAGGATGTTGGAGTGACAGTTTTTGGCCAGACATATAAGGGTGGATCGTTCGGGTTATGTAGACCGACTGTTGTTGTGGGAACGATAGCGCACACGCTCTTCAGCGTAAGTGTATTAATTGACAATTGCTCGTTTGCAGGAATTTCTTTTTCGCCGCTTTATTACTATGACAAAAGTAGTCAGTCCGCTGGGGTATAAAATACGCCTCTACCAAAATTGCTATACTTGCCCTTAAATACACTGTTAAATAAAAACTCGCCAATTAATTAATTACAGTACGTTTTCAAATTGTATATATTTTCTCAAACATAAATAATCGACATTTAAGGGGCTTAAATCAAATAATTAAACTTTTACAAGCAAAACATACATGTAAATGTAATTTATACTTAACACTTTGTTATTGCAATTTTTATGATTTTTCGCAAATTGCCTTTTTCTAAGTGGGAAATCAAAATTTGAAACAAGTGTACCATACAACAACATCTATGTATGTATGTATATGCATGCGTGTACGTACTAATTTCAATTAAGTTATTTTTTTTTTGTATTTTTTTTTTTTAATTTGTTTGCATACTTTTAATAAGAGAATAGAAAAATTGCTGACTTAATAGGTTTTATTAATTAGAAAATATGTAAGTAGGCATTTAGTAAATATATGGTATGTATATATGTATATATAAAATAACAACGTGAATATATTTCATAAAAGTTAAAGTAATAAAATAAATAATGCTCCTTTTTTCGCCGGCAAATTGGCTTACTCCGCCATATTCTACATACATACGTATGCATATATTTATGCAAATTACCGCCGACTGCAGTTTTGCTCGTAAATAATGCTTCGGGGTCGTAACATTTCAATGCAATTTCGTCATTTGCTTCTAAAATAACAGTAACGTTCGTTTAGACGCTTCGTTAACAATGCAACCACACCACACATACGCTTCTTTGTGAAATTTCGTCCGATTATTGTGGCGTTTGGCTTGAGCGACGTTTATCCTTGTCTTTTTCCTTATCGCCGCCTTTGCGACCAAATATCCGGAACATGCCGCTGCGGCGCTCCTCTTTACTTTTGCTACCCTTCACACCAGACACTGAAGAGATGGACTGAGCTTCACTTTCGCTGGAACTCTCCGCCGATACGCGAGAGAAACTTATGGAGTCTGGCTGCAGCGAAACTGGACGATTACTTTCGAAACGTGATGTGCCCCAGCCTGTGAAAATAATGTAACGAGTTAATTTAGTGAATCGTTCGAAGTTCGAGTTGGTTAACAGGATAGTACGACTAAGTTAGGGTTCTACTAAATACATATATATATATATAAGACCACGCAAAAAAGCCAAGAGATATGTATTAGGCAACGGCAGGAAGAAAAGCTTAGCTCCACTTAAGTCACTACGCTAGCTAGATATTTATGTGGCTATTTAAACAATATTAAATTTTAACCATAACCATATTTACTTTGCAGGCTGTTGCGTAGATAAGAACGGCTCAGTTTTACCGATTTAAACGCTGGTCCTTAAGTTTAAGACATGCAATAAACAAAAATAAAGTAAAACATGCTGGAGGGATCGATACAAATTTGCTCAACATGCAACAGGGAAGTGACGAAGGTTTTTCTTAGCTCCATTTGCAATTGAAAATAATTAATAGCCGATTTCTCAGTTGATAAATAACTATAAGCCAACAAATAATTAGTAAATCAATAGTTAACTGCACAATGTTGGCATATTAAATATGAGTTAATCATCTATTAAGTACACTGAGAAACTGACAAGAGAGAGATAATCTTTAGATTTTAATTAAACGTCCACTGAAAAATCGGCTGTAAATAATACATTTTTCGAATAATTTGTAATGGTATTTTTAGACAGATTGTAGAAAATAATCGAGATTTAAAGCTAACTTGATTTCTTTTAACCACCATGTTTTATACATATCTACATACTCTGTGTGACCTTTACATAGGAAAAAAGGAACATGGCTGGGCCACGCAATGAAAGTGATACATAGTGCGCTTCGTAATGCAGAATTCTATATAAATTTTTTTAAATTTATGTAACATTGTCTTTGTTTTTGTCTCCGCCTTTGTCATTGCCATTTGTCTTTAACTTTGCCTGCTGCGTAGCAAGTTTCGATAATTAACACTTAAGGCCGAGGCCCCGAAATGAGCGGCAAAGCGGCGAGCGGCTTAATATAATTGAAGTGGTCGAGCAATGAGTTACATTTCTGTGTGGCCTCGGGTCGGTTTCTCTGGTTTTGGTTAACTCTAACTGCAGGTCAAACATCGTTATCGACTCCATAACGTATAACAGACCGTCGCTAACGAAGATATTATAAATGTGTGTGCGTGAATGAATTCGGACATTTTCTGACCAAATCCAGGAGCACGGGCACAAACTAATTAATGCATATAGGCGATAATAGAGAGAAGAAGCATCACTTTTTCACTTTCACTTCAAAAATTTGGCGCTTGACACATTTTGCTAAGTGCTTGATGGATTTTCTTTTCCACTTTGCGATGTGTTATTGTAACACAAACGAAGTGACCTACGGTTTCAAGAAGCCTCCGAATGGCAGATAGTTTTTTTGATAAGCTTTTCATTGCACAAATAAGTATGTATATGCGTAGGTGTGCCATTGTCTGACGAGGTTCCACCGCTAGTAGTAACAATCTCTTTAGATGGATATGGATTAAATGGTTGAAAATACATAGGGGGTACTCTCGGAGTCTAGCAAAGTCCTTGCACGGATTGCATGGTTTGCAATCGGTTGCTCCATAGGAAAACCGGTTTTTGGGCTGCAATCCGTGCAATCCGTGTACCGTGCAAGGGTCTTGCAAGACACCGAGAAAACCCCTCTAGATAAAGAGATTCGAGTTTACGTAGTAAACGCGCATTGAACGCAGACTACTTAGCAGGCATGCATGGCATCGAGTATTAGCATGTAAAAATTCATGTTGTTCTCAAAAATCCCAAAATATCTAAATAGGTAACGGTACCCAATAAGCAGACGGTACAGCAGGTAAAAGTTCCATAATAGAAGTACATACATACATACATATATGCAAATAAATGCAACACTTGTCACTTAAATATAAAATATCTGGAAAGTTGATAAGCATGTAGATAAGTACATACGCACAATGCACGTATAATATAATATCTACATAGAATAAAACGGAAGAAAGCAACCAAGTATCCTTTCGTTGTACTAAGTACAACCCACGACAAAACAAATTTTGTCAACATTTTGAATTTTGTTTTGTTTGTTTAATGTTCATTATTTTTTTTTTATAAAATATAGCTCATTATATAACAAAAACAATTTAAGTCCAAATTTCAAAGTTTGAAAAATTCCACACACTTTCATCAAAATTCCAAGCTTTTTAATTAGAAATTCTTGAAAAATTGTTGGTTGGTTCGAAGTTGCTAAAAAATCCTGTTGATTTTTCAAAAATTATTATTTTTTTTTGCTGAGGGTGCTATGCACTTTCATCCATATAAAAAATGACTTTGTATGGAAGACAACATCGTTAGCAAAAACAAAAAATTATCAAAAATCAACGGAATTTTTTAGCAACTTTAAACTTGCATTTTATGAATCTAAAATAATAGGCTATAAAACAGGATATCTAGATTTTTTCTAAAAATGCCGAATGAAAAGTTTGAAATTTTGGTGAAAATGTTGAATTTTCCTAATTTTTCAACAAATTTTGGAATTTAGATTTATAGGTTTTTTGTAAAATAATGAGCTATACTTTTGTAAATAAAAAAATAATGAGCGTTAAAAAAACAAAAGAAAATTAATCAACACCGCCTAAAATGTTAATGTGCTATCTGTTGTCGTGGGCTGTACATACATACATACATACATGCATAGATATGTACATATCGATCATTTACTTCAATTGTATAGATGGTGTTATAATATAAATTTTTAACTGAGTTTGCAGAAATTACCGCTACCTTTTTTCTATGTTGTGTAAAAATTTCATAGCTGTATATTTAGATTAATAATAGCTCATTAGAAGAAAGTATGTATTCGTTTTTACTATGGGAGTATGTATATGTAAATTCAAAACTTTTAAAGCCGTTTTTTCGAGTTTTGCTTTTTTGAGTTATGACACTATTGAAGTAAATGAGCGATATGTACATACATACATACATACATGCGTTCTTATACTATATCGGTGAACTTTTGAAAAATCAACTTAAGTAATTTTGCCTGTTTGCGATTTCTAACATAACTTTTAAGATGTTGTTGACCTTCTGTATGATCAATCAATACTTTAAATTTTTGAAAGTTGTTCGATCATTTAGTGGTTTAGAGAAAAAAAACGGCTGAACTCTACTTAAGTTGTTCCTCCAAATGTCGTCAGATATGAAAGATCAAGATGCAATTAAAAGTGTGTAAGCGGTTAGAAAGAGAGAGAGAGAGAGAGAGAAAGAGTGTGTGTATTTGGGTGTAGGTGTGAGTGTCTGTGTTTGAGTTATGGATGAGTGACTGCTTGCTAACCGGTTCCATCGTTATTGTTCAAGCCCATGTAACTCGGATTATTTATGGAGTTGTTATCGGTAGTGAAATGCCACACAGTGCGACTAGTCGCCGTTGTAGTAGTTGTCGTCGTTGGCGACGACCCGGTGTTATTCGTATGCATCATGTGTTTACCATTATTGTTGTTGTTGCTGTTGCTGTTGCTGTTGCTGTTGCTGCTACCACTTGAATTTGAACTTGTTGAAGTGGTTGTGTGTAGAGTGCGCTTCGCAGCTGTGACACTCGACGGATTGCCGATACCGCTCGATTCTACCTCTATGAATTTGCGCGAGGCATCCGCGCGTCCACTCGCCACGGGAGTGCGCGACGTCACATGCTGCTGTGTGCGCATATAGCTTCCTTGCGACGAGTACATATCTGACGGTTGTTGGTGTTGTTGCTGCTGGTGCGGATGCTGCATTGCGGCAGCGTTCAAAGCATTTATACGCTGTTGAATTTGTGGATGGTGCGAATGAGCGCTTCCCACAGGTGGCATAGTCGTAGGCAAAGGTGGAGGATTTTCTAATTTAATTTTTTTTTTTTTTGGGTGGATTGATCAAGAATGAACGTATGAATGAATTGGTTTACATACATACATACATATACAGTAATTGAGAGCTAATATATACTAAAAATTCTGGGATTTATTCATTGATATCGCTTTGGACAAGGACAATTGATTTTCGTGTTAAAAAGGTGGTTGACGTGAATTAGAACTAAAATCGGATTAAACCGAAAGTGCGTATTTACCTGATTGTCTAGCCTCACTGTTGCGTTTTAGCACTACATTGTCTTCATTTGAACCGTTTTGAATGCCGGAAATGCCTGCGGGTAATGTGGAAGACTGCAATCGTGTTGAGTTGCCGCCATAGTTGGATTCGCTCAAGTCTGTTCAAATATGGTGCAGTCAATTAAAATGTATGGAGTCCAAAAAAAAAACGCAAAAAGATCTTACCATTGCTGGAGCTGTTTCGATTTCTCAGCACTACTAAATTTTCGGTACTTTGTCTATGTGGTACTGGCGGAGGTGCACCTCTGGGTGGTATTGGCGGCTTCTGCTCGAAGCCATACGATGCCGTTGGAGAGGATGGTGAAGCCTGTTTGAATTTATTTTGAAATTGATACTAAACCCGCAAAAATTCATCAACAAAATTGGAAGCATACCCTTTGTTGCTGTTGCTGTTGCATTTGTTTTTGCAGGAAATTCATTTGTGGTGTCGCTGAGCTTGCCGACATACCGCTATTGATCGAGTCGTTGCGTGAGATGGCACGCCTTTGCGAGTCCGGCGACGATGTTCGCGAGCTCACCGGTGACTCTATCTGACCACTGGCTACCTTAATATCTGGGAAACTGTTCGACTGTTGCTGTAAGAAAAAAATATATATATATCCATTCAGGGAGGTCCTTCATACCTTTATCCACAGATATATTTGTATACCTTCATTGATTCATCGTAACTCAGAAGCTGTAGATTTGGTGGCAGACTAGCATGGAAAGATATCTTACGCACCCAGTCGTTCATGATGTCTAACGACGGCGCTTCGAAGAGGAACTCGGATCCGTCGGGCAGCTTCAACCTGAATACGTACTTCTTTTTGGTGTAGTCTTCGGCGCGTTCACATTTGGCGCCGAGTATGTTGACTGGAGCGTTTGCCGTTTTCTGCTGCAGAAAATCATTTTCATCTTTGAAGAAGCACAAGAGTTGACCACAGAGTACTGTATGGAATTGCTTCCAGGAACGCACTGGTGCCTTTTTGCCGCCCGATTGCAGGCCATGTTTGCGCTCGAGCATTCCTTGTATTTCGACAGGTGGCAGATCGAATCCTTCACCTTTTTGGTTCTTGCGGAACGATTGCGCACGACGGCGTGTGGTAAAAGATGGTGTGCGTTTCGGTTGCTTTTGTTGTACCTTCATACTTTCCGCGCGTTTCACATTGGTGTCGGAGCCGCGACGTAAGCGATCACCGAACATGCCGCTCGAGCTGCTCTTCTGCAGTGAATACTGATCCTCGTCGAAGGGTGAACGTAGTGGCGATGCGGAAATGGCTGGAGATTGCGGTATGTTGTTGGTGTTGACAGTGACCATGGGCGTGGAGAAGATGGGCGTCTTTTCTTGGGCCGCAGCATTTTGGCGGTTTTCCAATTGCTTCTCCGCGCGCCTTCGTTCATCGTTGAGTCGCTGCAACTCTTTCTGTTTGAGCATCTCGAGTCGTTCCTTCTCTAAGCGTTCCTTCTCCTTCTGTTTGGCAAGTTTCTCGCTTTCGACTTGTTTGCGGAACCGTTGCTCAAGCAGTGTAATGCGCTTGATAGCTTGGAACTTCTCCTCTTGCGCGGCGACGGTTTTTTCGAAGTCTTGATGACGGCGCAATAAATCTTCAACCTGCGGTATCGAATCACCCAATTTGGCATCTTTCAGCAAAGGTTCGCGACTGATTATCCAGTTTTCGAGAATCTCAGCATCCTTAAGGAAGATTTGCGTATCCAAGTTGAGTTCGTAGATCTCTTTGCGCTGTTGCAGTGTGTTTTTCAAAAGTTCGTGCCGTTGCTGTAGCACTTGAATCTTCTCTTCGATTTCGTGTGCAAGAAAATGCTTCTCATTTATTAGTTTCTGTCCATCTGCCGTGAAGTTAGCAAAGGTCTCATCGCGTGCATGTATCTCTGCGTGGTGTTCTTTCACGCTAGCCAGCAATGACTCTGCACCTGCCACAGTTGTTGCTAAATCTGGTGCTGTTATCTTGGCCAGCATCTCATTGATCCAGGCAATCAAGTCACGATATTCATCGAAGTAGGATTGCAAATGTTCTGCCTGTTGCAATTTTTCTTTGCGTGCGTTTGTCTTTTCCATTAGGTCGGTCCATGCTTCTACCGTTTCGTCTCTTTTCACTTCGATGTGCTCCCTTGCGTCTGGATATACTTCCCCTAGTTTTGTAGCTTCCACAAGCACTGAATCAACTTGTTCTTTGATAGCCACAAGTTCACCTTCGAATACCGAGTGCTTGCGGCTCAACGCTTGTATGCTCTCCAAATCTTGTCCGTAATCCTCTGAGATAAGTGAAGCCTCCTTCTCGTTGATCAGCGAAATCGTTTCATCGGCCACGCGATCATAGACGTGCACTTGTTTTGCGCCAGCCAGTGCGTCTTGCCGAGCATTGACTAGATCCTTGAGCTCTTCCCACAGTTGCTTGGTCTCGTCCCGTTTGGCCTTAATTGAGGCGCGGTAGGGATTATTCTCTTTGATAAGCTCATCGCCGTGGTTCAAACAAGCTTGCACCCGTCCTTGATTGGCATTCAAATTAGATACGAACGACTCGAACGCCAAGATTAGTTGTTCAACGTGCTCAACGTCCTCACCATAGTCCTCAGATGCGGTTACCGCCATCTGATCGCCAATCCACTCATGCAAATCTTCAGCCTCGCGCAAGTACTCGAACAGTTTTTTACATTCGCTCAAGCGCACTTCACGGTCTTTAGCCAGTCGCAGCAACTCTTCATACTGTCTTGTTACTGTTTCATTCTTCGTGGTGATATTGGCACTATCGAAGTGATTACGCTCAACCAGGCCGGTGGCAAGTTTGTTGACCTTCTCTATAGAACTCTTAAACGCTATCAACTCGCGTTGCAGTACTTCCAGTTTCTTTTGATGCGATTGCACGGAAGTCTCGTCACGACCATAGTCGCTGGAAGCAAGTATCGGCCGTTTTTCACGTGTCCACGCTTCGGCTTCATTGGCCTCTACATAGAACATTTGACTCTCTACCGCGTCTAAAAGCCGCAATCTACGTATACTGGCGACATCTCGCAGGTTAACGAGTTTCTTCTGCAGCAAGTCGCACTTGTATTGCACCTGTTCACTGGCGAAATGGTCGTCGCGTATCATCTGGTGGCCACGCTGTAAGAGCGCTTTGATGAGTGGCTCCTGAGAAAGAATCTCGGCCTCGAGGCCCTGATGTTTCTTTTGGAGAACTTGCACAGCTATGAGACTACTACCCAGATCTTGCGCATTGGCGATTGCCTCCTTTTCTGTAAGCCATTGAAGTTCATCTTCAGCGTCACGCAGGAATTGTTGGAGGCTCAACGAATCTTCGAGATTTTCCCGGCGAATGGTAATGGGTTCATGTAGGGTGCGATAACGCTTGATTGTTGTCATAGCACGCTCGTGAATTTCGTCCTTAAGGAAGTGATCGGCTTGGAAGAATTTTTCGTCGGTCTGTTTGATTTGGTCGGCCAGGTCGTTATGATGCGTCACGTCGGCTTCAAGGCGCTCATGTTTTTTAATCAAATGATTTACTGTGGCTAGATCTTTGCCATAATCTTCACTCGACAAATGTGACTCCACTTCGTCCATCCAGTTATTAAACTCATCCAGACTGCGGTTGAATGCCTGCGCTTCGTAGGCTTGATTCAGTTTCTCTCTCTTTACCTTAGATGCCGCCTTCAGTTTATTCCAATCGCTTTCAAGCATTTTCAGTTGTTGAGCTATTTCCTCCTTGGCAAAGTGCTCGTCCTTGATTAGGCGCTCGCCTTCATTGATTACGTCCTTAACACGCGATGCATTTGTCAATAATTCGCTGTCAAAAGTGGTGTGCTTTTGAATTTTACTTTGCAAGTTGTTCGGCTCGCGGTAGTTCTCATCCAGCGCCACTTGCATTTTTTGTACCAACCAACGGTCGATTTCATATAGGCTACGAAGAAATTCGTGCAGTTGCAACGATTGCAATAACTTTTGTTTACGTTCCAGAGATAAGGCGTTCAGCTTCTCCTTTCGTCGCAGAACATAGCTCAGCTTTTCGGTTATGACATCAGCGTCCTTGGGATCACCTTCTAAAATGCTTTTCGCGAAGTTTTGCAGTTCGGTAACGTTGTCCGAGTCTAACAATTTCTCAAAGGCGTCATGCTTTTTGATCAGACGTTCCACAGCGGGATAGGAATCACCCAAATCATCGTTGTTCAGGAAAGCCTCCTTGTTAGCCAGCCAGATCTCAACCTGCTCTACCTGAGCCTTGAATAAGTGCAGTTGATGTGCTTCGGTCAAATCCCTGGCGCGTTCATTCCACGCCTCGTGCAGAGTGCTATGCAAGTCCTCAAGTATCATCAAATATTGCTTCACGTTCGCTGGTTTTTTCATGCCACTGAGTGTTTCGCCATGAGCTTTTAAATCTTTGAAAGCCTTATCTCGCCCGTCAATTTCCACCTTACGCTCCTGGTGTAGCTCCAATTGCGTCTCGCAATCATTTATAGTCATCGGCGCTTGAGCAGCATTCATTTTCTTTATCATGTCGTTAACCCAGAGCTCCAGCTCCTTTACGTCAGAGACAAATTTATGTACCAGATAGGCATCATTGAGAATAGCTCGTCGTTTTACAGATAAATCTTGTAGATTTTGCCAGGATGTGCGCAGCTCGTCTATTTTGTGCTCGATGTCTGTGACGCGGTCGGGATAACGTTTCAGTAGAGCCTGCGCAACGAGTTCATGCTCGCCGATCTTTTGTTTCACTGCTGACATGTCACGCTCCAGGGCATCTTCACGGCGAATTAGGGTTTCCACAGCTGCCAAATCACGTCCTGTATCATCGGAACTCATGGCCAGTGCTTTCTCGGCAATACGATCGGCTGTGTCGTCGACATCGCGGTTGAAAACGTGTATTTCATTGGCTTCGCCGAGTAGAGCCCTGTAGGCGTTCAGTGCACCTTGCAGCTGACGCCATTTGCTGTTGAAGTCGCGACGACGCTTGTCAATATTCTTGGTCTCAGCCGGCACCTCACCTTGACTAATAAGCTTGTCAGCTAAGTTATTGATATGCTTAACACGTTGATCGTCAACACGCATATCTGAATCCACGTCATCCAGTTTGCGTGTGAGAGCATTGCAGTGCTCCAGATCTCGGCCAGTGTCACTAGCCTGAATCATCATTTCCTTGTCGCGGATCCAAGCGGAAATCTTGTCCAGCTGATTATTGAATTCCAATATGTCTTGTGCTTCTTCGAGACCACGTCCTCGATTGTCCAATTCTTCGAGCAAACTCTTCCAAGCAGCAACAACTCGTTCAACCGCTTGCTTGATTTCCTTCGAAGACTCGTGCTGTTTGGTCAATAGAATCAAACCAGTTTCTTGTATTTCTTGGATACGGCCTTGATTGGCAGCAACCTCAGCTTGGAAGGCCTGATGTTTTTGAAGTTTCTTTATCTTCTCGTCCAAATTGGACACTTCCGCATAACTGGCTGCATCAGCTTCGAGTTTCTTCTTTTTCTCGTTTATCCAAGATTCAGCCTCGGCACAATCGCGCACAAACTGGGCATATAGGAGCGCATCCTCCAATTTGTATCGCCGCACTGCGCAGAGATCCTTTACTTTTTGTCGGCGCGCCAAAACGCCCTGTAGGATTGTTTGAATGTTTGCACTGTCGTAATGACGCTGTTCAATCAGTTTGCGACCATGCTCCTGCAACAAAGCGACTTTTTCTTCTTGTGTCTGTATGAGACGTTCGAATTCGTCATGTTTCTTTATCTGGTTTTGAACGTCTTCGACTGTCTGACCAAAGTCCGAGCTGCTGAGCGCGGCTTGTTGCGAGCTTGAAAGATTGTCAATTTGTTTCGCGTCGCGTAAGAAACAGAACAGATCAATCTTCTGTTCCAGCATGATCTTCTTCTTATTCCATGCCGCATGTAACTTCTGACGTTCGTCCAACATAGCCGCGCATTTTTCTTCTACTTCTGCAGCAGCGTAATGACCAGTTTGCACCATCGAATCGCTTAACTCATTCAAGTAGCGGAATTTATCCTCTCGTGCTTCGATTTCACCGTATATAGCGTCATGCTGGATCTTCAACGCAGTCGCACCAGCTGCATCGCTGACATGCTCTTCAGCCTGCAGAGCGGCTCGCAGGTGAGACGACCACGACATGATGTCACGTACATCTGTAAGGAAGGACTGCAGATCCGAACTGGCGGCCAAGCGATCACTGCGTGCTCCGGAGCGCTCCTTCAAATCATTCCAAGCTGCTACGACCTTATCTTGTTGTTGAGCTATGGCAGCGGCGTTCGAGGGATATTTCGATTGCAGGCGTACAGAATCCTCAACCAAAACCTGCAGTTGTGCTTCCAAGGCGACGAGGTCATTTTCGAAACCTTCGTGTTTTCGCAACAGTGCTAGTGCTGAGTTCAAATCTCTTCCGAGCTCAGAGGAGAGTGCTGCATTCTTGTCTTGGATGCGGAAGAGCGCCTCAGCAACGTCGCGATGGAAACGATGTATTTCTCCGGCAGCGTGTAACTTTTGCTCGCGTTGGTTGAGTAATTTTAGCAGATTTTCCCAAGATTCCCTAGAATTAGATATATAAGTATGAATGTACATACAAATCTCTTATTAATTGGGGGGGAAATGGAAATACGCGTGTAGCATAATGATGATCTACTCACCTCAACTGTTCTTGACGCCTCTCCACATCTGTGGCGTATGGACTCTCGGTGTCGATAAGTTTCTTGGCCAGTACTTCACACTGATTCACTCGATCCGAACCCACTTCCACGCGATGTTTTAGATCATCGAACTTATTTTGCAGCAATTGGAGATGTTCATAGTCTTGTCCATAGTCCTCAGATGAAGCTGCCTGTTCTTGTTCCTTAATCCATTGTTCCACCTCATCCGATTCCAGGAAGTATTCGTGCATGTATAGGCTCTCCATCAAACGCATTTGTCGTTGTTGCGCCAATTTATGTAGTGATTTAAACATTTTTTCGATAAGTTGTTGTTTCGCAGCAAGAATTTTACTGTCCGGATGTCCAGCGGCCACCATGGCGGCACAATTGTGCCCCATTTCGGTGACAATACCAGAGTACGTGTCCAGCTCCAGTTCGATTGTCTTGTGTTTGGTCAGCAATTTGGCGGCAGAGTCGCGATCTCGCCCATACTCAGTGGAGCGCAGGACGTTGCTTCTCTCACCCAACCAAGATTCAATCTCCCCGGCGTCGGACAAGTACTGCTGCGCCTTAAGTGACATCTCCAGCTTCTTACTGCGATCATTTGAATTACTCTCCAAGTCAGCCCAGGCATCTTCCAACTTAGCACTCAAGGCTTTTACATTCTCTTTTTCGGGATGATTTTGTGCAATCAGCGTTTGACCGGCTTGCAAAGCTTTGTTGATCATGGGTTGATGCCCCTTAACTTCGGCCTCGAGTTTTTTATGTTTCTTCGAGAGAGTTTGCGCTTGGTGGAGGTTTTGACCTAGCTCCTTAGACTTAGCTGCTGGCATGTGATCGTTGATCCATTGGAATTCGGCATCTAGCTCAAACACGAACTTGTGGTAATTCAAGCTCTCTTCGAGTTCCTCGCGACGTTTTTGTACTGGGTCGCTTAATAACTTAAAGCGATTTTGTATATCCTTTGTTTCATCTTTGATGTGCACTGCATTGAAATGACCTTCATGTGCCATCTCGTCACCAGTACTAACTAGTTCGACGATCTTTTGTTCCCACACCGTTATCTCAGACTCGAGTAACTGATGTTTGTTTATCAAATCTTTGCAACTGCGCAGATCGTTGCCCACGTCCTTGCTTTTTAGTGCAGCATCTAACTCGGCCACCTTTTGCTTGGCATCATCAATGGCGCGGTTATGTTCACGCTGCGACACGGCCTGTTCCAGTTTGCGTCCCTTGTCTTCCGACAGCGCCAATAGATCTCTCCACTTTTGGTTCAAGTCGACCATTCTCCTCTCCACCGCAGGCACACGATTATTCGTCGCTATCAATGCCTGCCCCTCCTTGTTGACGTTACGCAATTGACCCTCATTTGCGCGTAACTCGCGCTCGAAAGCTTTGTGTTTCTGCAGCTTGCGCGGCAAATTGGTAAGATCTCGGTAACTCTCATCGCCGGCTATTTTGGTTTTATCGCTTAACCACACGGCAAGATCGTCAGCTTCCGCAGCGAATTTGTGGAAATCTTTGGAAGCTTGAAGGGAGCGTTTGCGCTCGAAAGCACGATCTTCCACTGCTTTCCTCTTGCCTAGAACTTGATTGCGCCTATCGTCAATGCTGAGAAAAGTTTATGAAAATAATTGTTTTAGGTATGCTTTTGTTTAAGTATAAAGTTGGAGGGCTTACTATTTTTTATCATAGTGGTCATTGCCAATTAATTTATCGGCATTGTCAGAAAAACCTTTGAGAATTTTATCCTGAGCCATAAGGCTTTTCTCAAAGTCAAGGTGTCGCTTAAGTATAGCTTCAACTTCGTCGAGGGAGTTCTAAAAAGATAGTGAATGCATATTTTAATTGATAAATCAGAATTTGTCTGCACTTTTAGGCATAAACTTACACCCAAATTGTTATATTCAAGAAAAGCTTCGTGACTTTTTGTAGTGGCATCGATTTTGTCTGCTTCTCTGTTGAATATTTGCAATTCGACGCATTGTTGCAGCCATTTCTGTTTCTCCACCCAACCGCGGTGAATAGCGTCTTGTTCGGCCTTTAGACGTTCAATGATTTTAACGGTTTCCTCCATATTGGGTTTTCCATCGGACAGTTGCTTGCCCAAACCTATGACCTCAACAAATTCGTTGTCGTGAGCCTTGATATCGTCGCCCAGATCGTTATGTTTTTTCAAAAGATTGTTGGCTGTTTCAACATCACGCGCAGATTCGTCTGCATTTAGTTGATCTTTCACCGAGTCTATCCAGGCAAGCAACGTCTTTGCACTGAATAACAAATAAAAAAATTAGATTGAGGAGGAAAATTAATTTTATTCCAGCACATTGGAGAAAGAAAAAGTTTCTATTCAGATCCAAAGTAATCCAAAGTCCATATCCAATTACCTGTTGTTGAAAATTTGCTGTCCAACTGCACTTTCGATGCGCGCTCGCAGTTCACTGCCTTTACCGTGGACTTGCTTCCACATATCCAACACCTCCTGTTGTCGCTCTGTTACATTGTTTCGCTCAGCCGGATATGCATTCTTTACCCTAAATATCAAATTAAGCGAAAAGTCAGTATAAAATAGAATTTGCATATTTAATTAACTTACGAATTTCCTAGGTAGTTCACACGATTCACCTTCTCCTCAACGGGTGCCAATTCCCGCTCTAAATTCTGATGTCGTCGCTGTAGCGCTTGCACCGTTTTTTAGATCTGGGCTGATTACAGCCGTGTCCAGTTGCAGCATTTTCTCGTTCATCCAAACCTTAGCCTCATCACATGTGCGATTGAAGAGATCCACACTTGATGCTCCTTCCAGGCTCTTTTCACGTTGCGCTTTTGCGTTATTCAGACGTTGCCAAATTTGATGTATCTGCCGTTGACGTGCAATTATTTTGTCCAGCTGTGAATGCCCTTGTCGACGGAAGTTGTCGACAGCACCATCGATTTCCTCAATGCGTTTTGATGCCGCCGATAGGTCGGTTAGGAACTTTTCGAACTTTCGTTTTGCGTTCTCCACACCTTCGCCGTCATCGGAATTAATAATGCGCTCCTTATCTTTCATCCACTTCTCGAAATCATCACACTCGCGATAGAATCCGAACAGGTGTATGGAGTCCTCGAGTAACGCATGTCGTTTCTGCGCTGTATCCTGCAACTCGTCATAGGTACTATTTATGCGTTTCTGCCGTTTCTCTACACTATCGGCATTCTCGTTAAT